TTCCCTGATGCTGACAGTGGCCTGGTTATAGGGCTGCCAGGTTTACCAAATAAAAACACTGGACCTTGGTGAAATTTGAATCTCAGATGAACAACGAATCACGTTTAGCGTAAGCGTGTCCCAGGTATCACGGGGAACACACCCCCGCAGCATTTCGGCTGTACCCGGGCGCGCTGCTGCCTCTCACCCAGGGGCCCGAAGTTCCTCCTCTCCTGCACGATGGCGTGGAAGAAGCAGAGACCAAACATCAGCTTTTGCCACATCATGGGTTTGGTGCAGCTCTGGAAGAACACAGGGTCCGAGATGGGGTCGTTGAGGTAGGAGCGTAAGAGGTTGGCCCGGAGCCCTTTGGGGGGCTCGTTGGTCATTTTGATCCCGTTCTGGAGGATGCTGACCGGAAACTTCTCCGACGGATAGCTGGTTAACCAGAGTCTGGAAGGACAACAGACCTAACTAGTTAGAGCGATGCAATGAGTTAAACTAGAAAAGGTAACAACAACAACAGCAAAATATCTACTACTTATTAAGCACTAGTAGATGCCAAACCCCCTGCTAAGAATTCAATGTCCCTTGTGGACTTCCGTCCTCACAGCCACCGAGGGGGAGGGGCTTGTGACCCCCTTCGTCAGCAAGCAGCAGAGGCGTGGAGGCTTCGAGCGGTGTTTTTATGCCATGTAGAAGCAGCCGAACTGAGACGTGGTCGCAGGGCTCCGCGGCTCCCAACCGCTGTCCTGAGCGCCACGCCACAGCCCATCGTTCCCGGGCTCGCCGAGCACCTGCTCTGGCCCGCACCTGGCACCCCAGGCGTGGCCGAAGCGAGCAAAGCCTGGTTTCTGGCTCCCAGACGCTCGTGGCCTCGCTGCTGGGGGATGGGGAGCGGGGCCGTGCCGCGGAGACAGGACAAGCGGACAGAATGCGCTAGCACCGGGCATCATAGAACCGAGAGTGCAGGCCGGGGGTGGGGGGCAGGGCATGATGTGCCGTGGGGTCCAGGGGCAGACGAGGGGTCGTCCCTGGGGCGGGGACAGTCCAGGCTGCAGACGATGGCCGGCGAGCTGATGCGAGCCGCAGCCTGGGTTCGCAGCTACAGTGTTTTTGGAACCTGGCGATGCCCCTTCGCGCCCACGTTATTTACGGCCGCCGTCATGCAGAGTTGCAACGGAGACAATGTGACCCGCGGAGTGCAAAACATCCATTATCTAGCTCTTTACGGAAAACGTTTACTCACCTCCGTCATAGAGGAAATGGCATTTGAGACGGGCCTTGCAAATATGGAAGATTTCTTCCTCTAAAATATAAAAGTTTATCTATGCCCACGCACAAAAAAATGGGAACTTGCATTAAAAAAAAAAAAATTATAGTTTTATCACCTGCGGGTTGGTAACGTTTTGGCATATTGTCCTCCGGGCTTTTTTATTCATTTGTTTTCCTTCCTGAGCCCCAGTTGCATACACACTGTGATGTCCTGTTTTGTTTCACTTTGCGGGGTTTTCTTTGGCGAGACATTAGAGAGGTTTCCCGCAGGTGTATTTGGGGACGGAAAGTCACTAGAGACACAGGCCACGGGCCAAGCCACCACCTGGCGGAGGGAAGGTGCGGTTCCGCGGCTCGCTGGGCTGTCCGCAGGGGCTCAGGCCTGCGGCCGAGGGCGGAGGGCAAAGGCCATAAACGGGTGGCCTGAGGCCTGGCCTCGGTCTGCACGTGGCTGACGTGCAGCTCACACCATGCAAACCAACGCAAGGCGGCAATGCGCTTTTGAAGTAGTTGCCGACTTTTTAAAATCTAGGGCTTTCTTTCAAATTTCTAGACTGCCATCTTCCCTTCAAAACGATCAGAAAATCTGATCACGAGAGGTGGGCATTCCTTCATGGCATAGAGTAGTAGCCGCTCCTAGGTCACCGCTGTCCCCACGGCTCCTGCTGCTGTCCAGCGCCGAGGCCGACTGCATGCAGGGATCGCTCCCAGCCTCTGGAACGTTCCGCGTGCCTCGCCCTCCTCACTCCCTTAGGTTACACTCCCAGCTCCTGCAGGCACTTGAGGTCATGACTTTTGGGTTCTATAAAGAAGACCCTAAATGTCGGCATGGATGATTTTTTCTTCATTGAGTGTGTCACTGGTGGTCAATGAATCAATTCACCGTTGTAAACCAAATAAAATCCTTCGAGCGAATGGACCATCCCCCCGCCCCCGCCAAAACTCTTATGTGAATCCTACATGAGTCTTACATGTATATAATCAACTATGGCCTAGTCTGGCTTTGTAAATAAACACTAAACGCTTTCCAATTTTCTGGAACACCTGACTAAAATGGAAATTTTAGCAAGCTTTGATGCCTAGAGCTGGAGTTGGCAAAGTTTTCCTGAAAAGATTCAAATAGTAAATGTTTTAGCCTTTGCAGGCCACAGGGTCCTTGTCACAGCTACTTGTGGCATGAAAGCGTCACAGATACCACATACGTGAGCATGGCTGTATTTCAATAAAACTTTATTTAGGGACCCTGAAGTTTGAATTTCACATAATTTTCATGCGTCACGAAATAGTATTCTTTCGATTTTTTTCAACCACTTAAAAATGTAAAGACTATTCTTTGCTGGCAAGCCGCACCCAAGAGGCAGATGGCCAGACGTGGCCCGTGGGCCGCAGCCTGAGCCCTGGCCAGCATGAAGGAACCACTGACCACCAGGGTGGGGAAAGGGCTTTGAAGTCTGGCCCATGTCATCGCTCTGTAAATCCCAACACCGGGCCCAGCCTTGAAAAAGCAAAGAGCTGTTTCTGATCCTGGTTACAATTCCACAGAGCCCAAGAAAGATCGGACAGAGCGAGGACAGTGATGCTTAGACTACAGGTGAGATTGGTTTTTTTTTTTTTTAAAGACAAATAATCTTTAAAATTGAGATGGGCTGACATTTAATCTACCTTCCCAGGCACATTTCCTTTACCTCCCCACAACGATTCCTTATGACGTACGCCCCAGAGTCATAGGACAACTTCTCAGTGTTTCCTTACTGCGCATCTTAGCTTTACAAATGCAGTCCCTTCTGCCTGGGATGTCCTTCCTGGCAGACCCCTATTCCTCCGCCCTCCAGGCTTCCCCGACCGTCCCTTCCTTTCTCTATGCTCCTGGCTCTTCTCAGAGCATGAACAGTATTGGTCGCAGGGCTGCCTCTGGGAGGCGGAGAGCTAGAACTGTGTCTCGTCCGTCTCTGCCTTCCCGGCCGCCAGCACGAGGTCTGGCTCGAGGTGGGAGGCAGAGACAGGCATTGGCGCGACAGCGTCTCACCTGAATCTGACGTTGGTGGCCTCAGGGACAATCACCTCCTCACAGATCTTCTCCAGCGCAGGCATCCAGCTTGTGGCCAGATGGCAGTTCTGTAAGACCACCCACGTCCCTTCTTTGATGGCTGTGTTGATCATTTTGGCAGCGACAGGGCCTTGGCCTTGGCCGAGGGAGACGGTCTCTGTTTTGGTGCCTCCCATGCCAAGGTCGTCTGCAAACTTCAGCAGGCCTGAGACCGGGAAGAAAGGGGAATTTTTGAGAGTGAATAAGCCAGCTAAGACCATATTAACCATAACACAGAAGGAGAGGTTCCATGAAAATTCTGGGCTCGGGAGGAACTGGCTTCTGTTAATTGCAAAATAAGCAAGTCTCTGGGGAAGCTTTAGACTTCTGGTAAGATGGTGAACGAAGATACTACTGATTCCTCTTTTGCTCTGAATACACAGACATTCTTCATTAAAAAAAAAAAAAATTTTACACAAAGTGAAAGAAAAAAAATTTACACAAAAGAAAGAGAAATTTCCAGGTGCCGGAAATGAAGTGAGAACTCAAAACTAGAGAGGTGAGCATGCAACCAAAGAACTAGGAACTGGGTTTTTATAGTTTTTAACTAAGAAAAACAAGTGTTTATACAGTGAATATCGAGTAAGTCTCTTTCACTTCTCTCTTCCTCGGAAGCAGCCAAGGTCACTAGATTTTGTGAATCTTTCTATAGCTTATGCATTTAAATAAATGCACGTGTACTGTTATACCTACATGAATTGTTGACTACTACATTTGCTTTTTTCACTTAGATCTTTTCTGTATCAGTAAAGATGTAAAGGCCTTATTCTTTTTCATGGCTGCATAGTATTTCACCATGAAAAAACACCATGTTTAATTGACTCACTCTAGAAGTTGGAGTTTGTCCGGGGCGGGGGGTCGACATAACTTTGCACCCGATAGAGACGGGGCGCTGGAACCGAGACTTTTCTATACATTTAGGATGCTCGAAGGGCGGCACCTTCACAATGAGGCAGGCCAGGAATCTGGCGACTGACTCGAGAAGCAATGTGAAAGTTTGTCACTGGCCTGTAGCCCGAGTGGAAAACATCAACAAAAACCCTCCGGTGGGAAATCAAAACACCATGCCTACGGCGAATGCCACGAGGGTGTGGCTGTACCTTCCGCCCAGCGGTGTGGGATTCCCGAGCCAAGGCATTTCCCATAAAATTGCCTGAGGGTGGTGAAACCCTGGGGTGCCACTGTTTGCACAGGCAAAGTGGTTCCACTCCTCAAAGCCAGGGGAGACGAGGCGCCCACAGAATGACAGAGCTTGCTGACTATGCGCTCACAACGAGCAGTTACAAGGTACGTGAGGAAGTCCGGCACTGTTCGGGACAGTCGGCACACACGGCCGTCAGGAGGACACTCCGAGGGTTGCATGTGGCCTCTGCGATGGGCCATGCCGTGCCCCCAGATCCCTACGTTGACATTCTAATTCGCGGGACTTCAGAACGGGACCGTGTTTGGAGACAGGGTCTTTAAAGAGGCAGGTCAATTATAACAAGGTCCTTAGGGAAGGTATGTCCTAGTCCAATATGGCCGATGTCCTTATAAGAGGAAGAGACAGGGACACAGGCACACTCATAGAGACAAGACCACGTGAGGACATGGGAGAAGTTGACATAGAAAGAAGATGGCCAAGAACGGGCCAAGGAGAGAGGCCTCTGCAGAACCAACCCTGCTGATGCCTTGATTTTGGACTCCCAGGCTCCGGAATGGAAGGGAAATATGTTTCTGTTGTTCAAGCCACCCAGCCTGTGACACCTGTTGTGGCAGCCCTACTGGGTGATTCCAGCCTCTGAAAAAGGCCATAAAAGAAACATACCTGAAAACCATTCAGGAAGAAACACAAAGTCTAACAAAATTCAGAGTTCTATGAAAAAAAAAAAATACACGGATTTAGAACAAAACAAATAAAACGTTCAGGAATGGAACGCATTGTTGTTGTAGATAAAAACTCAAAGTGCTGATTAAAAGACCGGGTTAGATGCGGCCAACAAGAGACGCAGCGGACAGTAAGGCCTGCCACCGACGGCCTGCCCAGCGGTCATGGACGGTCTGGCGACCTCGGGTATGGTCTCCAAACACCATTACCCGCTAAATGAACGGGAGATCTTTGGAGAAGTGTGCGTCCCAGATGAGCCTGGAAAGTACGGAATCTAGGCAGCGAGGGAGCTCTCAGAAACCACAAGGGTGATGCAGGAAGGGCGGCTGAAGGGGGTCGGTCCATAGAGACCGAATCATCTGAGCATCAAAGAGAACAGTGGAGTAAGAAACAGTACCACATCTGAAACATTCGATATGTTAAAATCAACGCATTGAAGGCACCAGGTCATCATTCTGAAAGCTGGTGAGTAGGGAGAATGAACCAAGCATCTTTTCCATCTGCCCCTTTCAAACAAAGGGCTGACAAAAGAGAGTTCTGGCTAACAGATATGGAAAGAATGACGGCATTAAAGCATCGTCGTTTCGTGGCCCCTAAGGAAGTGGGGGATGTAGGTGACAGTCTTCCAGGGCTGCTAACAATGCCGGGTTAGCGGGTCCCAACACCAGCCGCATGAAGGACTTAGCGAAAGCCTCACCGAACACAGTACCTGGGGCTCGCCCACGAACACTGACTGAACTGGCCGAGGCCGTGTGCTGGGCCTGGGTGTTACCGAGGATGGCTGTGCTGGGTGAGAGGCTGCCGGTAAACCCCGTGAGGGGGGCGGTGGCGTGGCTCACGTTGACAGCGCTTGGGCCCACTCGCCATCGTCACCAGACAAGGAGGGACAACCAGATGGTACGTGCCCCCTGAAGCGAGGCCCTCTGGGGCACACGGCCTGGCTGCCCAAGCTGACACCGAGCAGGCCTGCAGCGTGGGGACAGGAATAAGCCACACATGCCACTGAATGTAACCGGCCCGTCCCCTCCCGGCATGTCGTCATCATTTTACAGACGGTGTCCTGGCTTTCCCCCCTCCCCACTTTCCCTGCCCTGGTTTCCGCTGGCTTCTCTTGTTTAAATGTGCCGCATAAAGGACACAGGTTGGAAAGCAGAGGCTCGAGAAGTCGTGAGTGGATGCTTGACAGGAACCCGGGAAGGGAGCCAGTTCGCTCCAGCTCCCTCCTCTGACTTCCTTCGAGAGGTGGGGCCCGGCGTCCTCTGCGGCTGGGTCAGGATGTGCGGCAAAGCCCACAGCTTTCACAGGACATCGGCCTCGTCACGTGCACTTCTGGTGCTTCCTTCATTCAGCAGCAGAGGAAATTGAGCTCTGAGACCCCCCAATGGCACAGACAGCGACCCCGTTCCTGTCAACAATGCGTACCTTTCAGCAGGCACAAACAATTTCCGGAATGGTACACACCGGGCAACGGTGCGTACTTCTGAGAGGGAGAGGAGGTGGATGGACCTTTCGCCCTGCAAGGATTTCTCGGCCCTAGCCCTGTCGACATCGGGCCAGAGAATCCCTGGTTGTGGGGGGTGTCTCAGGAACTGTGGGTGTTTAGCAGCATCCTTGGCCTCTATCTACTAGATGTCAGTAGCACCCCACAGTTGTGGCAACAAAAATGTTTTTTCCCTTTGCCAAATGACCCTTGAAGGGGCAAAATGGCCTTCATTGAGTCACAGTCCTGTCCTACACCATTTTGCATTTCTTTTTTATCACAGGCAGTGTTAATTATTCAAAGAATTCTAAAAATTAAAAGAAGAGAGAAAAGCCTAGCAGAGAGAAACAATAATTAGTGAAAATGGTTTAAGACAAAGGTAACAAACTCGCAGCCTACACCCAGCCCTGGCGTGGCCCTGGCCAAGTCTTCGAAAAAAAAATTCGCATGAGTTATCAAGACGTGAGAATGGATGATTCCTGCATTTCTTGGTTTCTCTCGAAAAATCAAAAGATCTGACCCCGCCGGGCTCCTGTTACCAGGTGGTGATGCGAAGCAGCTGGCCCCCTGGGACAGGAGAAGACGTCTTCGGTCGCCCCAGCCCCGCCTTGGACTATTAACTGCTTGGCCTTCAAGGCCATTGGAGTCTGAGACCCCCTTCCCGGCCCCCGCCGTAAGGGACGAGCTGCCGTCATCCCGTACCTGCCATGGGGTCGGCGCCCGGAGACAGCACGAAGATCAGCGGAACGCAGCAGCTGGAGTCGTCGTAGGAGCCCTGCAGGTCGAAGGTGGGGGCCTCCACGTACACACTGCCCATGCGCTCGGCGATGAGCTGCCGGGTGGCCGGGATCATCTTGTCGGGCCGCAGGCAGCGCAGGATGACCATCCTCTCCAGGCCCTGGAGGAAGTTCCAAGAGCCGGGGAAGCTCTCCTCATGCGGCCAGGCCGAGTCGTAGATGGGCTTCCACTCGTGAGGGTACTTCTCCAGGTGCTCCCTCAGGCCCTGCAGCGCGGGCAGCGCGGACGCACGGACCACTTCCGCCCACGCCTTCTCAGAGAGCCACTGCGGGGCCGGGTTGGGGAAGGGGTTGTCCAGGGCCACCCCTCCGGTGAGAAGGAAGTACCAGACCTCCTCGTCGATCTGCTTTTTCTCTTTCAAGATGCCGACGGTCAGGAGGAGGGAGAAGAGCAGCTTGTCCTTCTCGAACAGAGAGCGGCAGACGTTGTTGTAGACGCTGAGGGTGAAGTGCTCGATGATGTAGTCGATGCGCTGCGCCAGGGTCTCGCTCTTCTGGCTGTGGGCCAGGGAGTGCACGTAGAGGGCTATGAACCACGTCAGCGAGTACTGGTACATCGGCTCGATGTTGGCCAGGTCGGAGATGCAGAAGAAGATGGTGGCCGAGTGGACGGCCACCGGCTTGTAGCCCAGCCGCGTCTCGTCGATCTGCATTTCCGTCAATGAAGCAATTTCCTGTTTCTCGGAGATTTCTTCCGACAGCTGTTTCGAGGATGACAGAATCCTGATGGCCGTCTCATCCTCGAGGATGTTGCCCTCGGACAGGGAGAGGACCTCCAAGATCTTATCTTCAATGTCCTTCAGCTGCTTCTTGTTCCTGGCGCTCTCCACAATCAGCTTGTTCTTCTTCTCTTCCAGTTCCGGCTTCTCCTTGGCGGCCACGATGCCGAGGAGCTGGTCTTGGAGGCCCAAGGGGGTGATCATGAAGTTAAGGAGGCAGACTTTCACAGCCACCTCAGGCAGGTAATGCGGGTTCCTCAGCCGGGTCGTGATGTACAACTTAAAGTCCTTGGAGTACTCGATGATGTTCTCCCCCAGCCTCATGTACTCGACGCCCTGCTGCTTGAACGTGGACTTGAGCAAGACGGGCTCGATGAAGGCGTCCAGCTCCTCTCCCACGTTCTCGAGGAGGACGGGGGTGCCAATCTGCAGCGCGTTCTCCAGCGTCCGCACGTAGCTGGCGTCCGACAGCTTGGTGACAGACAGCTTGTTCGCCTTCTCCATGTTCTTGATCCACTTATTGGCCTGGCCCTGAGGATCGATCATCAAGGCCCAGCGTCTGGAATTGGACACGATGATGCCGTTATCGACGGAGAAGGAGTCGATAGGCAGCCCAGCCATCTGCCAGGCACGGGTCTTCACGGGGTCCCCGAGCGTGCTGCTCAGACTGAAGTCACTGGAGCCTGGGATGGCGCGCTCCTTGCACTGGGCCAGCCACTGCTTCTGGCAGTTGGCCCGGTAATCCACGGTAAAGGCCCCCAGGTAGGCCACGGTCCCCGCGGACACCAGCACGTCCCCCGTCAGATTCGTGTAGCGGATCCCCAGCTGCCGGGCGGCTTCTGTCCATCTGTCCTTCTCTCCCCCAAGACCGCTGATCAGCTTCTCCGCCCGGATCAGCTTCTGCGAGCAGATCTGGATATTCTCCTCCAAGGTCGTCTTCTTGGCGTTCATCTCCTCGAATTCGTCGTTGAGGGCCTGGAGCCGGCCTTCCACCAGCTTCAGCTCCGCGTGCTTCCGGTTCAGCGCCTGCATCTGGGTGGCCAGCTTCCCCTCCGCCTCCCTCAGCCGCTCCCGCTTCGGAGCCACGACCTTGGCCACGCGGTCGTACACCTCCATGGCCCTCACCCACTTGCACAGACCCTCACAGGCCGACGACACGTTTTTAATGACGGCCGGCTGGAAGTCGGGGTGGTCGATGAACCTGTCCCGGATCCGTTTCATGATGGCGGGGGGGACGTTGTCTTTGTCGTATGTCTTAAGACTCTCCAGGAATTTCAGATCTCCGAGAATCTTTCTCGATACTCCCCAGTAATCTTCTATCATCTTACCTGTCGGGGTGAGACACAGAGACAAGACTATTATTGAGACGTTCTGGCTAACACTTAAAGCCTTGTAGTGACTGACTCCTATTTGGCTTTTTTTAAAAAAAAATTCGTGCTCCTAGAGAGGATGTTTTGGAGCAAATACTCTGCACCATACCGTGATGACAGACGCATGTCGTTACACATTTATCCAAACCCACAGGCTGTACGAGACCACAGCAGGTGCGGATGTGGACCGCGGACTTGGGGTGGGACGATGAGTTAACATGGGTTTATCGGTTGTAGCAGATGTGCCCACAGGCTGTACGAGACCACAGCAGGTGCGGATATGGACCGCGGACTTGGGGCGGGACGAGGTGTTAACGTGGGTTTATCGGATGTAGCAGATGTGTCACCTGGCGGGGGGTGGGGGACGCCGATAACACAGGAGGCTGTGCGTGTGTGCGGACGGGGGACAGGGGAGATCACTTAATGCTGCTCTCAAAATATAAAGTCTAAAGGAAGTCAGTCTGGGTTCCTCACTACGGTCTGGGAGGCCCACCAGCCTCACCTACCGCATCTCTGCCTTTCTCCCTGGGCTTCGGTCACGAAGGACCCTCCCTTTAATTCCTTGATGATCCCCAGTGCTCCCCCACCATGAGCCCGTCACCAAAGCTCCAAGTGGCATCTGGCTGGCTCCTGACCTGACTCCAGGCTCATTTTTAAAGCCACTGCCACAGAGGTTTCCCTAGATGTCCCTCGCTACGGTGGGCCCCTCCAACCCTTTCCCAGCATGTTCTTTCATCTCAGCTGCTAGGACGTCCATTCCCTTCAGAGTACTTATTGCAGTCTGTGAATTTTTTGTTTACTTTTTATCGCCTGTCTCTCCCTCCAAGCTGCGAGCTCCTGCTGCGTTTGCTATACTCTGGCAGAGTGCCTGAAATTCAGTTATCAGTAAATGTGCGTTGAGTGGATGTGGCCCCTTCTCCCAGCCATGCGAGGAGGGTGAAGGAGCCCTGGGCGTGCGTTTTGAATATTCTTCTTCGAGTCTGGGAGAGGGGTTGGAGGGAACCCGATCAGTCCTTGTGGGCGAGTGGGTAAGGCCCGAGAGAAAGCAAGGGGCGTGGGTGGGGAGTTGCAAAGGGAAAGAAGGCTGTCTACGGCCTGCCCGCAGATGTAGCGGGGCCCTCGTTCTCCTCAGCACCTGCCATGCTAAGGACTAATCCAGTGAGCCCTGGTCCCACCCCGGGGCAGTGCTCCTGGTGTGGACGTGTTGGAAAAAGGTTGCGGGCCTTTTTGGTTCACGGCGCTGTCAATGCTCGTCAAGGTCAGGCTCATCAAAAAAAAGGTTGTACTCAAGACATCGTATTAAGTACAACAGGACCAGCGTGTCCTATTCTTAACGCGAGCACAGCAATCAAACAAAAATTCCCCAGGAAGGTTTCGATCCGCTTCGTTTAAATCCAAGGTGCCCAACACTAAGTCAGCTGCTCTTCTGCTCCGTCCCCACAGACATTCCGTGGGTTAAGTGAGGATTACACACGCTTCGTGTTAACTTTGAAATGACAAAGGCAAACGATGGGCCCGATGCAGATGAAAGATCCAAGAAGAGAACTGACTTTCGGGACCTGGCCACGCTCTGTGTGCTGTTCTCAACCCCGGCCACACCTCAGAACCAACCAGGAGCTGTAAAAGAATGCTAGTGCTCAGGCCGCACCCCAGACCAGTGCAACCAGGATCTCTAGGAACCGGGACTAGGGCGGGTGTCCACATTCTTCATGCTCATGGTGGTTCCAGGGTGCGGCCAGGGCAAAGTGCCGGCTGGCTCATCCTTGCTCAGGCCGACTCATCACGCAGTCGGCTGCTTTTCTTAAGGATCCCCTTGTAAAGCCCACTCCCTGCTTGTCCACTCCACATCACCACTGCATCTTCCTCATGCGGTCAAACCGGCCAGGGAAGACAGAATGCTGATCAGTGTGGAGCCGGAGCCAGAATTCTTGCTCGATTCTAAGACACTACTTTTTATATAAGATCCTACATCGAATTCTAACTTTAAGGAGACCAAATAGTCACCTATTAATGCTTCTAAGCTCAAAGATACGAGGTGCTTTCTTCCCTCCTCCCTCCCTCTCCTACCCCTTTCTCCCCATTTCTGAGCCTCAGGATTCTAGTTGCCCCGTCCTCCCCCCTCCCCTTCCTGTTTCCGTCTGCCTCCCTCTGCCCCTCCTCTCTCCCTCCGATCCTTCTCCACCAGCCTGTGGGCCGCACCTCCGCCTCTCCCCTCTCCCCCTGTGTGTCTGTGTCCTCGTCTCGTCTCTCTCCTCCCCACACCCTCTACATTCGTGTGTCTCTGTGTCTCTGGGCCTGTCTGCGTTTCTCTCCCGCTCTCGGCCTCTGGGTGCCTCTGTTTTTGTGTTTCCCTTCCCCCGGGTCTCTCTCCTATCTCTCTGGATCTGGCACCGCGTGCGTGGGTCCCCCCTCCCCCAGCTCTCCGTGCTCCCTCTGCCTCTCGCCCACACCACACCGCCCTCAGTGCCTGCACGCCCCACGTGGCCCTTTTGTCTTCATGACCTTCATTCTTGCAATGATTTGCAGATAGGGGCCTCGATTCAGCCAGGCCTCCCCTACCGATAGCCGCATCTCCCTGAGAGGAGGGAGGACGGTGGAGGGACGTGGAAGCACGCTCTGGTGCCCGCACATACCCCGAGCCTTCATCATTTCTCCAGGACCCTGCACGCCGCCCACGGGCCTGGGGCGGGGGGTCGGGGGGCTGGGCGAAGGGGGTTACCGCTGCCGCTGGGGTCCGGCTTCCTCTCTGGTTTCAGCCCTTTCATGACACAGATGCTCTCCATGACCAGCTTGACGGGGCCCGGGGGGTTCTGCATCGACTTCACCAGCGAGATGTCTGCGGGGTTCAGGGTGTCGAGCGCGGCCAGGGCGGCCTCCAGCGCGGGCATCGCCTCTGCCAGGTCCCCTTCGCACTCGTTCTGCGGGGAGCACAGGGGCCAAAGGGGACACTGGAGGGCGGGGCAGAGCTCTGCTCCTGGAGAAAGCTGGGGAAGTGGGCAGCGGTCCCCCCCCGAACCCCCTCCCACCCGCCGAGAGCCACCGCTCCGGGAAGGCGCCCCAACGACACCTGCATGGCCCTTTGGGGCTGCAGCTCGGCTGCCTGCCTCGGGCATCTCAGAATTCACCTGGTTTGTGGTCCTTCAAATATCAAGCTTTTGGTCTTTGACAAATTCCCCAGAGATATATGAGTGGGTGACTTCACACCCACTGGCGAAGGATGAGGCTTAAGGGATGAGTGACGGATGGGAGTAGGGTTAGGGCATGTCTAGGGAGGAACAGGCATGAGAGGCGGGAGAGGGTGAGGGTCCCGGATGTAGTGTAGCTCAGTGATGGCGAGGGGTTGGGCCGGGGGGCCGGGGATAGTCAGGGGTGAAGGCTGGGGACACGGTGGAGTCTAAAGTCAGAGTTTAAAGGTGAGGAACAGGGATAGAGACTAGAGTTCGGTAGTGAGCTCTGGGCAAAGGAGAGTGTGTATGTTTTGTCCACCATTTCTTCACTTAAAAACAAAATTAACACAATGGAATATTATTCGGCCATAAAAAGGAATGAAGTACTATTCATATAACACCACAGATAAACCTTGAAAACATGCTGAGTGGAAGAAGCCAGACACAAAATGCTACCTGCTACACGGTTCCATTTACATAAAATGTGCAGAAAAGGGTAATCTAGAGAGGCGGAAGGTCGGTTAGTGGCTGCCAGGGGACAGGGAGGGATGAGATTTCCTTGTGGGGCGATGAAAATGTTCTAGAATTAGATCATGCTGATGGCTGTACAACTCCAAATAGACCAAAACCACTTAACTGCATAATTTAAAAGGGGGGATCTTGATGGCATGTGAATTTTATCTTGATTTTTTTTAAAAGCTTAACATTATAAGACTTTCAGAATAAGAAGGTACCTTATAGATTACTTAGTCATCCAATTACCAACTTGGGAGGGAGAGAGGGAGGGTGGAAGGGAGGGTGGAAGGGGGAGGGAGGG